CATATATGTACCCATGTAATATTCCCGAGACAGGGGATTAGTGTGCCTTAGTGTTTCTTTCTTTCTTATTTTTAGGTTCTGTTTGACCATGTGGGCAGCCTGAAGAAGTACGAGTCTGTGCAGGATATTCTCAGGGACTTCTTTGAGTTGAGGATGAGGTACTATGTGCTGAGAAAGGACTGGTTGGTTGGCATGCTGGGCGCAGAGAGCGCTAAGCTCACCAACCAGGCTCGCTTCATCCTGGAGAAAATCGAGGGCACCTTGGTCATTGGTTAGTAGCTTAATACAATTTTTGTTTAATTTGAAATACTACAAAAAAGGCGGATAAATAGTTTTTATTTTTACATTTCCGCCCACTAAAGTAAATTATAGTGTTTTTGTGTCATATTATATGTTCATTTACAACATCTTCTGAAATTGTAACAATTATAATGGCAGTCACAGTTATTGATAGATGATTGTTTTATCCATAATTTTACACATAGTGTGCTTTGATTTTTCCTTGATCAAAAATATTAATATTGCTCATCTACTTGTAGAGAACAAGCCTAAGAAGGAGCTGATCCGCATGCTGCAGAGTATGGGTTACGACTCTGACCCAGTCAAAGCTTGGAAACAGGCTCAAGAGAAGGTTAGACACTTTGATTCAAATGGCTTTCAGCTACATCAGTGAGGAATGCCAAATAATCAGCCTCCACCCGAGCAAATAATATTATATATTTGTGTTCATGCTTTTAGAATGAGGAGGAGATGGAGGAGCAAGAGGAAGAGGAAGGAACAGAGAAGGAGGACACCAGTGGGCCGGACTACAACTACCTGCTGAACATGCCCATGTGGTTCTTGACTAAAGAGAAGAAAGAGGAGCTGTGCAAACAGAGGGATACTAAGGTGTGATTCTCGTCTATGCTGAAATCTTACTGATGGTAGCAATGTATCATTTAAAATTGGCCTACCTCACCTAAACTATGTCCCTTTTTGACTCAAATGCTGTTCTGTAGATGACAGAGCTGAACACCCTGAAGAAGAAGAATCCAGAAGACCTGTGGAGGGAAGACCTTGCCGCTTTCTCCGAGGAACTGGAGGTATAGACTCTTTATCTTTGTTTACTTTGTTTTTCATTGTTGTTGCTGTATGTCGTCAGTCACATATGGTGACATACATTGTGTCCATCATAGTTTAAGAAAGGGATTACCAATATGCATATCAAGTGTTGATTCACGCCTCTGGAAACCCTGGTCACATTCAATAATGTCATTGTCAAATGTTTCACTCCTCAATCATCCCCCGACCTTGTTTTTTCTTGTGCTCAGTGCACTGAGGCCAAAGAAAAGGAGACTGCCACCATACCTGTTGGAAAGGGGGCTGGAAAAGGCAAAAAAGCAATGAAAATGAAGGAGGAGACTCTACCCACGCCCCAGGGTCGTCGCGTAGTCCCACGCGTTACCAGCACCATGAAAGCTGAAGCTAACAGGAAGGCTGACAAGAAAGGAGAAGGAAAGAGGGGCAAGAAAATCAAGGTATGTCTTTTCAAACTTAATGTTTGAGAAGACACTTAACTGTCAGAAAATAACTCCTTTTTGTGTTGCAAGTCATATGTCTACATCGTGCACTTGAATACAGCACAATCTCCAAATGAAAGTTACATTTTGCTTGACTCTTCTTTCTGTAATTGCAGACTGAAAACGTAGTGGTTAAGATGGAGTTTGACGGAGAAGATTCAGACAATGCAGCTCCAATTGAGGAGCTTGGCTTGGTTGCACGACTGAGCAAGAAAACTAAAGCCCAGCCAAAGGAAAAAGGTGAGGTGGAGCAGTTCAGAGATAAGACATGACATGTATGCAATTGTTTTTTTTAATTTTACAGCAGCAATTACTCAACCCCTCTACCGTGATAACAAACTGACTCAGGTAATGTGTTGCCATAAAGCTTGAGGTGCCAAATGAGATAAGCACATTGACAGATTTATACTGGATGTTTGTTAAATAACGAGCAAGATTATGTGGATACTACTGGCTACATTACAGTTTGCCAGCAATGCAATAACAACTCTGCAGTATCGTGATTTCGTTAAGGGCGACCTTTTTAACTGCTCGATCTAGACCTACTGTAACGAAGCTTCGTTGCGTTTTTGTTAAAGATGACTAAGAAACATACTTCTCTGCAGCAGCATCAAAGACGGGCACACAGACTACTCTTCAGTTCAAACCTGCTACCAAGAAGCCCAAGAAGAGCCCGTGGTCGGACGATGAGCCTGACAATCTGTCCGACAGTGAAATGGAGGCAGAAGAAGCGGTTGCCCCCAGGGAGCGTGTTGAGCGCAAAACTAAAGGTGAGTCTGCTAGATGACCCCGACCACCATTATCACTGATACTAAGACAAGTGTGTCCATGCAATTGAAAGGACTCTGTTTCGGCTATCTTCCTGCACACTGAATATTCTAAGTGCTTCCCTTACCCAGACAGTGAGGCGAGATGTAATCACTCCAGTGTGTTTTGGGGTTTTGAATTAAAACACTGATAGAAGTAATTTCCTGAAGCTGTTTAACGTACTTATCTTGGTTTACCGATCTTTGCAACAACTGTTTTGTGACTCATCTATTATGGGGAACTTCTTGTTCTCATTTTTCTGCAGTACATGGCAGAATTGTTAAATCAACCCATTCTGTCGCTCATTTCTTTAGCTGCAGTGAAGTACAGTTTGTCAGACAGTGAAGATGATTTTGATGACTGGGGGAAGAAGGATGCTCCAAAACGGAAAGCTGTTATCAGTGATGATGATACCAGCTTTGCCCCAGAGCCCAGCACGATGGCTGACAGCGATATGGACTCTCCAGCTCCGCCTCCCAAAGCCCCAGAACCTGCGTGAGTAGGAGACCACAGACTTTATGCATAAACCTTCTTTCACATCAAAGTTTCTTCAGTCAGTGTATTTACCTCCATTTTTTTTTTCATTTCTATGCAGGAAGAAGGCACCAAAGAGCAAATCAACAGTAAAACAAGCTGGAACCAAGTCAAGCTGTAAGTAGTTTTACAGAGCACCCATGTGATGAGGCTGAGGAACGTTGAGTCTGAGGTTTGATTATTTGCTCTTTGTTGAACTTGCCAGCTCAGTCGGATGATCAGATGCCTGCATCCAAGGCTCCAGTTCAACGTAAAACCAAAGAGGCTGCCCCCAAGAAAGCTGCAGCTGCCAAGAAACCACCTGCACCCAAGAAGAAGGCTGCAGGTATTTAGACAAGTGTTTAACCTAATTATAAACAGCTCAGTTTGTCTGTGTACGTCACACAGACTGAAGAGCAGATGCGTAATTAAAATTTAAAAGTTGTAATATGTGCTATTTTTTTTATATCAAATGGTAGTAGGTTAAATTGTATTAATAGGTTGCCACACATTTCTTGTAAGCAGATTAGATATTTAAGGTACATGATGGTGTAAAAAAATATTATATTGCATCCTTCCCTCATCTATATTCAGTATGTTTTTTTTTCCTGTTAATTTCTCTTAGATGCGAAGCAGCCGTCTATCTTGGATGCTCTCTCTAAGGCCAAACCTTCATCCAACACTGCTTCCAAGAAGGTTCCTTCATTTGACTCCAGTGACTCGGAAGGTGAAGCTAAATCTGCGCCTGCAAAGGCAAAGGCAAAGCCTGCTCTCAAACGGAAACAGGCCGTCAGTGATGACTCCGACAGCAGCTCAGACAACCTCATGTCACGGATCAAAGGCAAAATAACTGCTGGCGGCAAGGTCAGTTTTTACTCTGATTTCAAGAAGGTCTTTAGAAGCTTCATAAACCATGAGGCCTCATACTTTTGATTTATTAATTTATTTAGGCATCGTATTAATACCTTTATTATGCCTAAAAATTTTCTGTTTAGAAAACCAAAAAATTGGCAGAGGATGACAGCTTCCAGGTGTCAGACCAGGAAGCAGCAGCTCCTGTAGCTGTGGCACCGCGGGACAAGCCCTCACGTTCCCGGAAACCTGTAACCTACAACCTGGACTCCGACTCAGATGACGACTTTTAAATTTTAGCCTCCATGTGTTGTCACTAATTTTTAGATTTTATATTAAAGACCAGTTCTTAAGTACGTTATACATTCAGCTTGTGCCATGTCATTAATATGGCTTCACGTTTGTCACTTTCAGCATGGTTGCATTTACTTCTGTGGCTTAAATGGACCTTAGACCTGCAGTCTGTATCCCCTTAAAAAAAAAATTTTGGAGAGAGAAAAAGTCAGAAGTAAAACAAAAATTCGTTGCTTGTACTTGGTTATACCTGTTTTTCACCAGGCCCAAGCTTTAAGCCTTAAAATGACTTGGTTTTGATGGAATTTCCCCTTTTAGAATCCACTTGTGTTGTGTTTTGTCTTGTCTTGTCTTGTAAATATTTCAATGGCTGTTCATTTTATATGTTGGAAAAATAAAGCTATCGTGTTTGTACTTGTTGTGCAGTGTATTTGTAAACCCCGCTTGAAGGCTAACCTCTGGTGTAATATGTCACTGATTTTGTCCGTCTGTAGAAGTCGAGTTCTCAGGGGAATTCAAATGGCATCAGCGGGTTCACTGGCAAACAGGTTATTGAAATTGTAAACGATCATAATGACTTAATTGCTCATAATAAAAAAACAAGAACAAATCCTGAACTTTAAACCATGAACCTCAATAAAAAAAAATGTTATGCTGGCCATCACAAACTGCATGAAGCACACTGCATGAACTATTATTCAGGGGGGGCTTTAGTCATGTTATATGTTCTCATATTATTCCTTGTGACCAGGGAAATTGGTGGTCCAGCTTTGAACAGATCCTTCCTGCCATTTAGGAAGCTCTTTGAAATGCTCATCAAGAGTTTGGCTTTCTTGGCTAAACATCACTTCTGTCTGGAACTCTAGATGGTTGCAGATTAGGACGTAACAGGAATTTCCTTTACTGTTGCCGCCCTCTCAATTAGAAGTGGTGCAATCCTCAATCATATGCCATTTGGAGAGAGAGTGAGAGGAATACAAGTTGGTATGGACATGAGCTTAATGCTTTGATTGGACACAATTTTTTATTTAGGTTTTTCCGTTGCTTTATCAGAGGACATACCTGAGTGGTAGAAGACTAAACGAGAGGAGCCTGAAACAGGATTTTTTTAAGGCTAATCAGGGGTTAGGTTTTGTGTTTCTCTACATAAGGTAAAGTAAACAGCTTAGGCTGAGCCTGTTTTTTCATCTTGATGCTATTGACTAGTATAGAGAAGCTGCATCTGAGTTCAATTTCAGACTGGCAATTAACAAACCAGCTAGTGTTCTTCCATAAGCTAGCTGCTTGTTGGTGACTGAGACTATTCATAAAATTTGAGCCCTTAAAATGACGTTCAAATGTATGGAGAATAACCAGTATTAAGTGTATCTATTACTTTTGGTACAAACATAATGTTTCATATAGGCAAGTGTTATTGTTTTATTCATTGAGTGATATGCTTGAATTTCTGTTATTGCAGGTGGTATAGTCATTTTTAAATTTTTGGTTCTGGGCCATTAGAATGTGAACACTGTCACCAAACTTTGGCCCTACCCTAAACCTTTGACCTGCAGGTTAATGTCACTATGGGTTGTGAAGTGGGCATTATAAGATACATGTTACTTTCTTTTTTTTATCCAGAGACAGCATCTGCTCTGACAAGGACAGGTGGATAAATCTCCAGTCTTCCAAGAAGCCATACCTGACACAGTGCTGCAATCATGGGTGAATGGAGCTTCCTCGGTGAACTCTTTGGTAACCTCCAGGTGCACTCGCCGATGCTTGGTCGTTTCTGGCTCTTACTCATGCTTGTGTTTAGGATACTGATCCTGGGAACTGTTGCCAGTGATTTGTTTGACGATGAGCAGGAGGAGTTTGCCTGCAACACCCTGCAGCCAGGCTGCAAACAGGTGTGCTACGACATGGCCTTCCCTATCTCCCAGTACAGGTTCTGGGTGTTTCACATCGTCCTCATCGCCACACCTTCCCTGGTTTTCCTCATGTATGCCATGCACCACCATAACAAGAGAAGCCTCCGCCCCGAATTAAGCCAAATTAGCAGCCAGGAGCGCAGAGCGGACCGCCATTTAAAGAGGCTCTACATTGTCAATGTGGCCTTCCGCATAGTGGCAGAAGTTGGCTTTCTAGTGGGCCAGTGGTTGCTGTATGGCTTCAAGGTGGAAGCCCAGTTCCCCTGTAGCCGCTTTCCTTGCCCCTACACAGTGGACTGCTTCACATCCCGCCCTGCAGAGAAAACAATCTTCCTCTGCTTCTACTTTGTTGTAGGGGTGATTTCGGCGATTTCCAGTCTTGCTGAATTTTTCTACAGCTCCAAAAAGTTGTTTTGCTCACGCCGGGTGCCCTTGCCCACAGAGCGCCTCAGTGTCTGCCAGAACCTCCACAACTTGAAGGTTCTTGAGGAAGCAAAAGCAAGAAGAAGGACAACGTCAGAGAGTGAGTCCAGCAGTGTGAGGCTGAAGGGAGGACCGCTGAGGAGCAGCAGGAAGGTCTCCAGCATCGGATACAAGCAAAAGAGTGGCAAATATGCGAGCAGTGGGACACTCACGGTGTGAGACAGCCTTGAATCAAACATGCTGCAATCACAGTAGTTTCTCTTTTTATTAAAATGTTATAACTACATTTTCTAATTCCTGTGTGCCATTTCATTTCATAACTATTGCACAACATGTTAATGATTCAAGGAGTTATTTATGTTGGGAGACACCATAAGGAAATGCTTGGGAGACAGTCAGAAAAGAAAGCAAAGACAAGAGGGATGATAAGACGGATGCATGCATGACATTGTTTGGTTGGTGACTCATTACTGACTGTAAACAGTTCAGGAGGCAAAAGCCTCTGGATAACACTTGGTACACTGTTTAACACTGATTACATCTTTGTTTGGAAGGAAACTTATTGTACATCCCTGTGACACACCCTGTCTGTACGCTAAGCATGAGTCTACAGCCAGCAGCTGGTTAGCTTAGCTTTGCACAAAGTCTGGAAATGGGAAATGAAATGAAAATGTCAAAACATTTGCACAGTGATTTACCAAGGTCTTAAGTTTATTAAATTGTGAATTGTTCATTTACAGAGGTTATAAGATTGTCCTTGGAATTTACTGTAGAGTAAATTTACTTTACAATGAATTCCATTAAAATGGGCTCATGATGACCAAGTAGCTGATTTTTTTTTTTTTTCTTATTGTAACTGTAGCTTGAATGTGATGGTATATGAACGAAGACTGTTTTTCACAAAGAGTACCTGGCAGCTCGACTGGTTGCTCAGGTTTTGTAGTTGATGCATATATACAGTATATTTCTCATGATAGTGAAGGAATGAATGAAAACTGCACATACTAGAACCTTTTGTGAGATCCATTATGTTTATGTTTTATTTTTACTGTAGCCTATTTATACACTCCAAAACATTTCATTATTTTCAATGACTGAAACATTTCTATTGACAACACTTCAATCAATACAATCACTTTTAAGAAAGTGGTAAAAGTTTAAGATTAAAAAAAACATATACACACTCTCATTTCAACATTTGAATATTCTGGATTCATATCTATTGAGTTTTGAGAATTTCAAAAATCCCAAATGTGTTTGTTTTCTGTTTAAGTTCAGTGGCTGGCAGTGGCATTGACACCAGGACGACCACTAGAGGGAACTGTTAGTTGCCTGATAGACGCACATTTGGTCAAACTGTGCTGTCAGTGAAAGGACATAAATATTGGAATGGCTTACCATTTGCAATAAGGGAGTGTCCTACATATTTAACTTTCAAAACACACCTCAATCATTGGCTTAAGTCAGACCAGATCTGTGATCACTGTTAACTCAGCATGTTGCATTTGTCTTTGCTACTCGTGTATTGTCTATTTGTAACTGTATATTTTGAATTGTAATGTTCTTGTTTTAATTTGCCTGGCCAGGGAACCCAGATATAAATTAACATTCTTGATACAATCCGGCATTGTCCCTATCGAATAAACACATAAAACAAAATAAATATTTCTGCCCCCACTCAGAAATGTGTTTCCTTTGCTGTCATTTAACTTGGCTCGTGATGATGACCTTCACTGTGCACAGTGGTACATTTGCTACTAGAATGTTGTTTTTACATTCACCTATTGGAGAGGGGGACGTTTTGCCTGTGCTCACCTTTAATCTGACAATGACAACACAGCTGGTTTGGATATATTATTCATACACAAGTCTGATGTGAAAACTTGAATCCTCCACTAGACACTGAGAACTGACTTTTCAGTGAAGCAGGAGACATATTTTGTCCAGTAGTTATTATTATTATTATTACTATCATTATTATTATTATAAATATGAACATATAGAGAGATTCTGAATTTTTCATAGAGTGAGAAAAAAGTCGATTTTTTAACAAGGTACTTGTTTTTTTTTCGTGGCTAACTAAAATCAGATCCAAATTGTTATAATTTTCATGTGTCTTAAAACTGACTCAACTTCTGCCGTTCTAAGATCAGTTACGATCGGTTACGATATTACACGCATTATACGCATGCGCAGACGTGTGTGGCAACTACACGTGCATTAAGTGAAGAGGTAGCGGTAGCGGTAGCATGTAAACGAGCAAATGAGACTGATTTAGCATCTTTGTACAAGTCCTTCTGCAGTAAGTTTGAGACAGAATATTGTTATAGGAGTAGTGCAACTCCGTTCAGGAATAGCTCAGTTCGTAGTTGTGTAGGTAGAGAGAGGGAGAGAGAGCGGCGATGCTGGCGACCGGAGCAGACAGTTAGCTAGTTAGCTAGCAGTTAGCAGTATAGCCCTGAGTGCAGTGCAATGTATGTGCACTGTAGGCTATTTGTGCTACAACTACAACGACAACTCTTTAAGGTCGAAGTTCCCACCTCTCCACTGTGCTTCTCAACTCCAGACTATGAGCCAGGAAAGGTTTACAACACTGAGGCTGGGTGTCATTGTCAGTTAATGGTAGATATTTTTGATAGAAGTGATTTTTCTTTTTATTTATTTCCCTCCATACTGCACAGAGTAATCCTAATACTTGTTCAGACAGGAAGGAGAAATGTCCAGGCAAAGAGCAGCAAAGATGCAGGAGAGAGACTTTCAGCACAGGAAAGACAGGCAGCACTGAATCATGAAACAGGACAAGCCCTGAATTTAAGAGATTTGCTTCTACAACTGTCATGGAAAAGGTATGTGTCAGTGCGGTCCATATTTTTGACACTGGTGTAGTAAACTGCTGAATCACACACTGAGTGGGGGTGGGGGGGTGTCTGATTCTTAATCAGATTTGTGGAGAAATCGTTTGACACTTCACATTAAAAGACTGAATATAAATTAGACAATTTGCACTTAAACCCTCCAAAATAGTATTTGTCCATGATACAAAGACAAACCTTTCAGGGCATCTCAATATGTCATGTAAGCTTTACGTGTGGGAATATGATCCTGTTGTTACGCTGTACGAACCTCCCAGATATTTCTTTCTGTTACTGTTTCTAAAAGCAAATGAAAGGTTTTGATCTTGCTGCTGCTGAACAAGCCATCTTAATGCCTGCACCAGCCATGAAAATACAGTACAAAATCATGTGAATATACACATAAAATGCCACAAATTAATTTACTGGTGACACAAAATAGCCTCAAGCACTAGTTAAGCAAAAAAGCCAAAATTCTTGCATGAAAGTGCATTTTGTCAACAGCAGGTGGCAGCAGTGAAACAGGAAATGAAGCTCACTTGAATTATGAGTCTCTGATCTTCAGTGAGATGACTTCATTTGCAGTCACATTATTCCTTTGACAGCATCCACAATTCCAAGTCATTACAAGGGCGGATTTTTTTTTTCTAGAGACCACTGCACGACACAGTGCCTGCTTAATTCATGGATATTCAAACAGTGTAATGTCTTACTCAGCCATTCCACCTTGAACAAGCTTAGAGCTCCATGTAAACTAAATTAACTGGTTCTTTTGTTTTTAATAATTACTTCCATATTTGCAGTCTCAGATGAGGAAAATGTGATTTTCTTCTGAAGACTTTAGCAGTCACAGATCCAAGTGGCTAATCTAAACACAAAGTCATCTAAGTACTTTCCAAAGAAGCTTATTTTTGACTCAAACAGTCCTCCCAGAAACACACACACACACACACACACACACACACACACACACACCCTTCCTGCTGTTCCCTGGACGCATCATATATGCAGATTGCAAAGCGGTGCAGGCTCTTTGATGTGCATAGAACAGAATTCTAGATGTGTTTTATATAACCGCTGGAGAGGGAAGGAAAGAAGAGTCGAAGAGGATTACCGTCAAAACTTTCCCTGTTTCCTTTTGTATGCCTGCGTCTCCACCTTTTCATGTCTGCCTTGTCAAACTGGAAGTCTGCCTGTTTCCCTCTTTCTATACCTTCTCCCCAGACTTTCTCTTTCTCTTCTGTGACTCTCCATTCTTCACCCTGTCTTTTCTGAATGCGGGGAGGCCTCGCTGCTGGAGTCTGTCTCAAAGAGAATGTAGGTCATCTGTTTTCAGCGACTCCCTTCACACCAACACGGAGGAGGAGATGGAAGTGATAACATCTTTCTCTGCACCCCCACCCCTCTCCACCCTCACCCACACCCACACCCCCACCCCCCCACTCTACCTCTTCCATTCTCCTTTCACTTTGAGTGAGACACTTCAGGGGCTACCTGTGTCCCCGGTCTGCTCCATGGAGGCTCTGTCAATACACACCTAGCTGACTGACAGCTCCGCATGGGGTGTCTCTGAGCATCTCACATTCTGCTAAGTCATGTAAGGACAATACTTGAGCAAGATGCTCTCTTTCTCGAGAAACATCACCCCTGCAGTTTGCTTTCTTTGCTCCAAACAAATAGCATTAACAGCTCACTCTGTTGCATTACCCTTTGATTTGGTTTGTTTACGGCACAGTGCCCAGTTCTAAGCAAATCAAGCCACTTGTTTACTGGCCTGAGATTTGCTAACTTGTGACCTGATAATGTTGATTCCAGTTAGGATACAGTTAGGATAAACATGACACATTTTAAGAACATGAGAAACCTTATACCTAATTTTAACATGTGCTATAATTTCTCATTAATTTGTAAGGAGGCTTCCTGGAAATGACATTTTACTATGTGGCTGAGAGAAAGGAAATAGAAAATGTCCTGTGACGGTACACATGGTAAGAAGTCACTTATTTATTCATTTGAGGAAAAAAAAAACAACAGCAGCAAATGCAATAGTAGAGTTAAAAGCTGATTTCCAGATTAATTTCCTTGAAAGGACTCATAAGATAAAACTGGCTCAAGTAATACATCACCCATTTTACATTTATGCGTCAGCTGACCTGCTGTGGTTCTACAGCGAAATAACTTTAATTTTGGCAAAAGAAGGTTATGCTGTCAATGATTTAGATTTAATTGTAAGTATACCAATTGAACACAGTTTCCATTTTCCCTATAATTTGTTCCACATTACTTACTGTGTTATAGAAACTGTCCTAAGAAATTGCAGTACATATAACAGTTTCTTCATAAGAAATGAGTAGGAAACTAGAGGACATGTAAAATAAAGTATTACCAAGAAATTTGTTGAATATGAGCATTCGTCCACACTGTGTTACCCTTTATTCTGCTTCGCTTTCCAAGCATGAGTACCCGCTGGCTGTCAGATGTCAACATCTACTACCCTGTACGTACAAACCCCTGGCCCTATGCCTTGATGTGATGGTTTATTTACTTAAAGTCAGGGTCAGATTAACCCACCAGAAGGCCCAGGGCAAAATTAAGAGTGGGCCCCAACACTCACCACTGGTTTCTGCCGTACTCTGGTGGGCGGGGTTGTGTTTTTTAATTTTTTTTATTGCAACACCATGAATGCCTTTCAGTCGATTTTCATGGCAGTGCATGCAATAGATATCAAGACATCTCTCTTTAAACAACAAATGTCAACCTGATGGTGGCGCTAGAGGAAATATCAGGGGATCACCAGAGTTAGTGGGTTTCATCATGAATCTCTGCACAAAATGTCACTTCGATCCATCCAATACTTGTTAAGAAATGGATGTTGTTGTACGTGAACAGAAGTGCGCCCCTGTAAAGGATATTCCTCTATGACCATCTGCAGTGCTGACGCTGCCATATGCATTACTGTGTGTACTTTCTGACCTCTGGCCTGCCACACAGCCGGCCACAGAACCGGTGGCCAAGGACAGCTTATATCTCTCTCTTCCTTCAAAGCTGCTGAAGCGTGCCTCCAAGTTTATGGCGTCACAGAGGAGCTCGGGTCACCGCACATCACACCTCGCAACTCCATCTCCTTTTCCCTCCTTATCCATCCATCTGTACCCCCCCCCCCTCCATTGCCACAGGGTGCGCTGTGTGAATGCAGCATTTACAGGGAAATATCCTTCTATTCCTTTAGTCTTTTCTCTCATCTCCACTTCCATCTGTTTTCTTCACTTCTTCCTGTTTTACCCTGCCTAAGGGGAGCTGCAATGTGAATGGTGCACCGTTATCCAAACTCACTTCCTCTCCACCCCCCTCCACCCCCCACCCCCCCCACACAGCAGATGTCCAATCATCCTAATATAACAGCAGGAACAGAACAACACAGTGGCTCAGGCCCCAGATTAAAACTATCTGCATCCCAGAGGATAAAGCACAGCAGCGACGCAGCAAAATAATACGAGCGAGACGAGAGG